ACTAATTCCTATTCAAAATTAATTTCTCCATAGTTCTACATAATGTATTCACTAGTCTCATCAATGTTTATTTATTAAAGTCAGTGTTTTCAGTAAGTGAAAGAAGCATTATATAATGTTTCCAATTGAGTCTCCTTCCATCTGTCCTCCTATTTTACTGTTTATCCAGTAGTTTAAACATAAGAATTACACTTGGAACAGAATGGCCAGCAGTCCCCCAAAGAGTACAGCACTCCAGCACTTTGCACACTATTTTCTGTCATTTACCTACCAATGCTAGCAGCCTTCCCAGAGTACTTGTTCCATAACTTTCTAAGAATAGTTACTGTATAATCAACTAGAAAATAACTCCATCACTTGATATAAGCTTGATGAAGGCATTTTTATCCATTTTGTTCACTCCTGTATCTTCTACACCTAGAACAACCCCTGACAATATATATTTGTTGAGTAAATACACTGGGTGAATGAATGAATGAAATAAATATTATCAGCCCCATTTTACAGATAACTAAGACTCAGAGGATTTCATAAAGGTAGCAGATGGTAGTGCCATAATTTAATGTAAGCCAACCTCCGGGATAGAGAAGCGACATGGAATGAAGAACCTATCTTTAGGTCACCTCCTCTCATCTCCTGGGCTCTTTACACCATCCATGCCACACACTCTTGACTGACTGACCTTCACATATAAAGAAAAGCTTCTTTCAAACCCATGACAGTCCCAGTGTCACTGAGGGGCCTGAGGCTCTATGCTTTAAGTCATTCTCTCAAGTTCCTAACTACAGGCTTCCTCAACTTTTCTACCCCTCTTATTACTAAGTAAAGGATAATTACATTTGCATACTTATCAGAGACAGTCTGTATTTTGACCAGCAAAGTTTCCTTAGCATCCAAAGTTAGCTGCAAGAAGGGCCTACATGAAAGAATAATTTAGAGTCAATTGACTAACTCAAATACAAAAGAATTTCCACATTTGTAACTAAAATCTTCCTAATATTACCTGGAACATAATAGGCTTTCGATGGGCATTTATTGCATTGACGAGTAATCTATAGAAATAGAATGTGAACCTAATATCTCTAACACATTTGTAAGTTTCCGTGTTACCGCTGTGGACAAGATAGGGAAATGTGGATTGGTCAGTAAAGTGCAAGTAAGAGGACTTATGGCTAGAAATACAGCTGTAGTCAAACTTAGCTGGTGAATGGTCCTTTGCCAGCCTGGTAGAATAGCATAAAGTTGTTTTTGGGGGGTTTTTTTGCTTTTTTTGAGTTATATTTATTAGTTCTGTTTTTGTATCATTTGGCTCATATTCTTCAACATTAATTAGGTAAACACCAACAATATAATAAATCTGGGGTGTCTTTTTTTGTATGTTAGAACTTAATATTTTATTTCGGACTTAGAATCAGTTTAGCATTGTTATAAATGATGACAACTGCCAACTAAATTTTGCTCTAATAGCACCGGTTTACATTTATATTTAATTTATTCTTTATATTGTAGTATTTGGTGTCCAATTCTCATAGTTCGCCATTTAAGCTTCTTTTTTTTTTTTAATATACAATCCATGAAGTGACTCCACCCCCTCCCCCCGACTCCCCAACCCTCCGTTTACTCTAGCACCCAATGGCACTACACACAACCATTAAAATAATAGACTGTATAGCCTATGCTAGGTTCTAGTCTTGGTTCTAGTTTTGGTTCTTAATGGGTTTATCAATAACTTCACCTCCATTCTCATTGAAGGTCCTGGTTGAGGGTCCAACCTAGAGCTTAGTGGGTCACTCTGGGCTAGACATGAACTAGAATCATAATGAAAGAGTAACAATCAGAATTTGATGATTTTTCCCAAATACTTGTCCCATTGATTCTGCCTCATGTGATTTCTCTTAAGTAGATTAAGACTATAGAGTCTACTTATTTCATTTCTAAGCCAATCTCTCATTGTCCATATTGAATGTTTCGATGTCCTCTCCATCTCTCAAAAATACCTGCCTCTAGGAACAGGAAATGCAAACAATTCCAATTGTGAAAATGTTTTCCATATTATCAACTCTATACTTTCCTCTGCAACTTTCACCCACCTCTTGGCTTTGCTCTCCAAGTCCAAACAAAACAAGGCTGACCTCTTTTTCTCTCAAAAAACTCACTAAATATGTGGTTCTTGTGGCCCTTTCTCGCCCCTCCACACTCTCCCATCTGAGCGTACTTTTCTTCTTTTATTATTAAAATTTTAAATGTTAGAATTCATAAATAAGGCAATTCAGAGAAGAAAATAAGAATGGAACTTGAGACCCTAGTTACCAATTTTTTTAAATAGATATATCAATTTCTAAATATATATGACTCATTTAAGAAGAAATTCATACCTCAGCCACTAATGTCAGATGCCAAAACAAAGGTTATAATGTTTACCTAATACGGGTGTCAAAATCATCTGTTTGAGAAAGGAAAATGTTGGTGATTTTCCTTTCTCAAATTATTCATAGAATTTTAAAGCTGTGCATTTCATCCATTCACTTCATAGATGATGACATTGAGATCCAGAGGAGATGTGTAACTAGCCCAAGGTAGGTTAGTAACAATGTTGAGAGTACTTGAGGTATTTTTGGCCATCTCCCAAATAACAAATATGGTCCTATAATGTACTGATGTCTGTTATTTTCTCCAACTTCCTTATGTCTTAATAATGTCAAATCTTTAACTTCCCAGGAAGCTAATTTTACATTGTTATTTTTACAACAATGATAGATTTTAGAACAAGAAAATTTCCTAAAGAATAGTCAGCCTTCCTAATACTATAGACAAGAAACTAAAGGCCAAGGAGGCCTGTCCACTTGTTGGAGGCTACACTGCAATTTAGCAGCAGAGCCAGCAATGGAGCCCATGTCTTCTGATTACAACCTAGAACTTTATTTTTCTGCTCAAAGGATTAGCTAAACACCACCGATATTATAAACCTGAGGTTATTTTAATCTAAAACCCTGTATTCATGACTAGAAAAATAGAATGCTTCTAACTAATATACAAATTGTGTCTTACAGAAGTACTAGGCTGGACAACCATTAGTCAGAATGATTGAAGAAGGAGGGACTTTGAGCAATGGGTGGGAGGTTCGATTCAATGACCTAAGGTCCCTTCTATCTCTAGGATTATTTGATTCTGGACTTCCAAGGAGCTGGGCACTTCAGCTAGCCAGAGCACCTGCAGAGGCAGGGAATGTGCAGTGTCCTGTAGGGAGGTCCCTCTCCTGCTGCTGAGCTGGACTCTGCCCTAATGTTGCAGGTTATTACTCTATATCCAATTTACATGCAATCAAATACTCTAGGCATAGAAAGACTATAAGGAAATGCAGGTCTGTCATCTCCAAAGACAGACTACACTGCTTAGCTTTCAAAATTGCCTTGCCTAAATGAGCATTCCAAAACTAAGCTTCCAAATTCAGCTTTTATGGTTTGTTCATGTACTATGCTACTATCAGAATTAATTATGCAGCATCTTCATGAGGAGAAATCAGATTTGAATATGAGTTAGAAGAGGAAAGAAAAGGTGCACTTCTCAAAGAAAGGTTACTGTATCTGATTCCCCAAAAGCTCTGGAGTCCTTCCATGTGCAGACTGGTTTCAGATGGCAGTCCCCAGCTGAGCTAGCCATAGGAAGGAGGAAGTTGACACGTTTGAGAAATGAAGAATATGCCATGCCAGCTAACAAGACTCTAAAGGCCAAAATATTATTAACTCCCTCCTTTCTAAGCAATTCCATTCCAAACTGTAATTCAACACAAGTTTGTTCATTTGCTTTCCTAAATGACTACTAAATACCAAAATGTACTGGTTTTAGACTTTTCCTTTTTTCCCAGTAATGAATCCAAGGCAAAGAGGTTTTCTTTTCATCTCAAAGAAAAAGAATTCTCAATAGAATTGTCTCAATGAGTGTTTTTACATGAATGAGATTACAAAAAAAATCAAACTATCTGATTGCATGCATGGGGACCAGGTGCTGCATAGATTTCAGAAGAGCAAATTGATGCTCTACAACTCAGTGCCAAAAAAAACAAAACAACAACAAAAACATTCTTACAAGATTATCTCAAACGCATAAGAGAGAGTGATTACATAGAGATTCCACTGCAAGTCTAGAAAGCTCTACTTTCAGTGGTTTGGGCAGGTTCTTTCCTCTCCTCACCCTGGTGTGCCCAGACACGGAGGATGCTGTGCCCAGTCACCAAGAAGGTTCAAAAAAAGTAGATGTCCTATCTGCATCCAGCTGCCTCTACCAATGCATGGACGGTGTATTCGAGGTCTAATCCATAAGAACTCTGCACTTAGGGGGTTTGGAGGAAGGTTCCTGGGGCCTTCTTAGCTCTCCGTTAGCCTGAAGCTCCCATTAGCCTGCCAGCTACCACATCAGTTCTGCCTGCTACCAACATCAGCTCAATACAAGAAAAAGCCCCTTTCCTCCTCTTCGGAGGTTTGCACCACTTTTCTTCCAAAGGTATTTCTAAAAGGAAAGCACAACTTGAGAGAAGGAGCCCGAGTGGGAAAGGTGAGGTCTTTTTGATCGTTATCCCCCCGTGACGAGCAGCTCCAAGAAAACCGACACATGCATTCCAAGTCAGGCAGGTGTACAAAGACAGCGAAGGAAGGGCGGTGAGGGAAAGAAGAGGGGAATGAAGAAGCAAGGGAAGGAGAGAAGCAGATCAAAGCGGGGGACGAGAGCACAGACTTAAAGGAAGAGGGTAAAGGAAAAACAGGATGAGGAGGGAAGAAGAGAGTCATGGAAAGAAAGAAGACCGAGAGAGAGGGACGGAAGGAGAAACGGGGGTAAAGAAAGGGAGAGAGATAAAGAAAGGAAGCGGCGGGGAAGGATGAAAGAACGTGCCGGGCACGGGAGCGCGGCGGGGAGGTGGCCGCGGGGACCCCCGCGCCCCTGGGGACCCGCGGGCTGCGCTCCACGCCTGGGCGCCCAGGGCACAGGGCGCGCCGGCCGCTCACCTTTCAAGATGAGGGTGTCGATGTCCCGGTCGATGCCCAGAAAGTAGCACTTCCTCCAGAGGCCCGAGTAGGTGGCGAAGAGCGGCCGGCCGCACTCGGCGTCCAGCCCGCCGAGCCCAAGCAGCGAGCGCCAGGACTCGGGGTCCGCGCGCCCGGGGCCGCCGGGGAGCAGGCGGCGCCCCA